CAACCAATCGCCGTCATGCCACTAAGCAGAAAGGAAAACCCCACATTCGTCAAGCTCCCCATCATAGACTTATCATGATATGGGATTGAGGACTGTCTTACAGTCCAGATGCCCAAAACACAACGCCCATTCAACGCCCATTCAATGCGTTGTGTAAGTATTATGTTTATGTATTATGTAAGTATTATTGTGCTATGCAGTATGTATTGCGTAAGCAATATTATGTTTATGTATTATGTAAGCATTATTTTTTTGTATTATGCAGAATATTATTACGTTTATGTATTATGTGAATAACATTATGTTAATGTATTATGTAAGATCTCTTTACATCCTAACTTAGTTGTTTTGACATAAGGCAGCGTTTCTCAAACAGTGGAGCGCGCCCTCCTGGGGGGGGGGGGGGGGGGTGATAATCTTACAAAGGAGTCACAAACATGTCAAAAATAAAAGATTTATAAAGTGACAAATTTACCAAAAGGGAGAAAAACAAAATACATTTTGATATAATAAAGTAAAATACACATTTGCACTGATATAATTTACTTATAAATGCATTAGTACTGTACAAAGTATTTGATAATTAATTCTTCAGTACTAAGTTAAGAACAAGATTAAAATAATTTCTAGTGACTACCATGGACTTGTCATATACAAAATTATACTACATAAGATTTAATACTTATCTCAAGCTTGTAGTTTTGTATTGTTGCTTTGTAGCTGTATTGTAGCGTTGTATTGTAGCTTTAGCGTCAAATACATTATTGAATTCAATACATTGTTATTGTATAGAGGGGGGGACGTGATGAAAGTTATTATTTAAAATTTTGTCGTGAGTGTAGAAAATTTTTAAGAACAGACATATGGTAATTAATAAAAAACTGGACTGTTGATTAAATTATTTTGACTTTCTAAAAATGACTTTGTTTATCCATATGGAATTAACCACTTAAATACCATATAAAAATTACATGATCCTGAAAAAAGTTGCATTGGGGATTGCCCCAGGGTAACTTTTTTCAGGATCGCGTATGCAATATATTGAGAGGAAAAGAAAATACACACGTAAGCAAATTTTTCTCTGACGCAAATAAATTCTTCTCAAGCACTGTCAGGGTCATTTTATTGCATTCTTAAGTCTTCGGAAAAATTTTACCGATAACAATGACCAGAAAATAGTGTTTTAGAAAGACGTACATATACACGTCCGAGCCACTGGATTTACCGGTCGAGCGAGACGGATATATACGCCGATAGTAATAAATTGGTTAAAAACTCTATACCAAATATTATTTATTTAATTTATTTTGAAGATTTCATTAAATACTTCGAGCACATTTAACTTACTAAAATATGCATTTGAGATCCTAGTTTTATTTTCATTTTAATTGAATTAAAACCAAAAATCCTTCCGTCATATGTGTGTATTACGAAATCCGTCAGGCATTTTTCTGTGTGTAACTTTCCATTATTCTAGTTATTTGTATTAAAAAAATCAAGATTTAATCAAGAAAATTTATTATTAATCAATGAATTGTGTGGTATTTGTGAAAAACAAAGGAAAAATTAGCATGCAGATTTTAAGATTGTAACTAAGTTGTAATATATAGAACAAATAAATGATAAAATGTATTTGTGATTACCATACATCAGTGCTTTTCAAACTTTCTATGCTTGAGAACCAATTTTCAACAATAGTTTCCATCTCCTCTCCATACAATAACAATGTATTTAATTCAATAATGCTATACTTTGACACTAAAGCTACAATACTACTTTAATTATAAACTGTACAAATTATTAGGATAAGCGTTAAATTTTGTATACCATTTTAGGACATGCCCACACATGCACTGGTAATTATTAAAACTTATTCTCAACTTAGTACTGTTAAATTAATTATGAAATACATTGTGCAATACTGATACATTTATAAGTGTATAATATCAAAGTAAATGTGCATTTTAATTTTTATTATGTAAGAATTTATTTGGTTTTTATTTATTTCAGTAAATTAATAATTTTTTAAAGAATCCTATAGTTTCATCTTTTCAATATACTCGCTCCCTCCTTGTAGGGCTGTCATGCCCCCCTATGGGGGCGCCTTCTACAGATTGAGAAACGCTGCCATACATTAACAATTGAATACTTCATGTTCCAAGGCGTGTAAGAATTTCTAAGGATTACAAAGAATATTTTTACAGATATGTACAAAAATTGTCATACCGTTATAGCTTAAGCCTTTTTTGATCCGAAGTTAGAATAAAAAAAACTATTTTATATGTCAAAATACCATATGTAAACACAATTGTGTTCTTTTTTATCTTACTTTTAATATTGCGAATATTGCACTCCGAACAGTTCGGAATGGGCTACATTTGTTATCTATTTATATATATATATATATATATTGTTTTTGTTAAATACGCATTTATTTCCTTTAAAACACAACCTTAATCAAATTTATTTTCAAAAAACTGAGTTAGAAGTCACCATTTTTGGTTTTTGAGACCCTATATAGAATAGTAAATTTAGACTTGTATTGAAAGTTTCTTATGAAGTTTCTACAAACTTTATTTACACTTAAAACGTGCAAAAACTTAAAAAAAAAACTCCAAACCACGTAAATTTATTTTTGATATTTAACATCTGCCAAGGTCATTCGTGGGATATATAATCAATACTTTCTATACTGCAAGGTTTGTATACGTATTCTAAATCCATTAAACTACAAGCTTATTATCCTTTACGTCGTCGGTTTTTTTTTTTTTTTTCTAAGTTACTTTTATTAAACAAGAAGCATGGCATTTTTTTCTTTGCCGTAAAAAGAAGAAAAAAAATTTTTGAAAAAACAACCGTTCTACTCTGTGTATAAAGAAAAGAGAAAAAAATTAAGTTTCTGAACACTTTCTGTGGCCACTCCATTCAAGGCATTTTCCTAAACGGAAGATAAACCTTAATGACTGTTTTGCACGTTCTTCGAAAACTGCAATGCGAAAACCGTTAATGAACTCGCCGTAACCGGATATCGTCGGAAAACGGAATCTATCGGATTCTGATAAGGCACCAAACAACAACGAAGAAGAAGCAGAATCCGGGGGACTATGACTACTAATAATACAAACTTTTGGGGGAGTAATTTGGTGAAAAATTTCATTTTCACGAAGAGGAAACTTCGATAACCATTAATTATGGTTAGGAATTCCTAGCTCCTTTTACAATCTATGGTAATGAGCTAGAATATTGGTTTAGAATTTCAACATCTCTTCGCCACATCCATTGAATCAATTGGAAATAATGACTATAAAGTAGCTGTTAACTGAAAGAGAGGTCTCTGATACTGTAGGGTTACAGTAATAAATCTCTATAAATGAATTAATGGTGATTTGTTGGTAGTTGGTTCAATAGTAATGGCAATTAAAATATTTTTAAAAAGCTTTGGTAAGTAATGAGTTCTGTTGTTGATTTATGGTAATGTAGTGGACTAATAATTTCTAAAATAGTTAATTGGTTTCCTTTAAATTATATATATTTATAAGTTGCAAAGTTGCATTTTTCATACATTAAAGACTAAAATACTACATATGTATTAGGGAGAATATCAGGTGTTTGGGAAAAGAAATTATTATTAATCGTAACCTACCTATGCGGCAAATATGCTCTATGGGATTGATGGCAGGCCGAGTTCTGGTCCCTGAGATACAATTTTAATTTTGCATCTGCCCTCTTTACAGGAAACAGGGATTAGTAAAGAAAGTGGGTGCGTTCCCAGTTCATTGCACTCTCTGGTTGACAAGGTTGTATTCTTATGTGGACACTGAGTATACGGTTGGGCAAATCAGAGTGGTGGATTGGAACAGTAATAAATTCGCAGCAGATTATTACGGAAGTAATGCGATTAGCTTTAAAAGCACTTGCACGCTATTTCTCGGGGCTTTTTTTTCTTCTTTCCTTAGATTACTTGCCAGCACCACTCCGTCCTCCTCTCAGTCAGATAAAGTACCGTTTTTACTTTGTTTTAAAATGTTAGTTTCAGTATGCCGATATTCTAAATAAAATTGTGTTACCACTATACGATCAGGCTTTAATTTTAGTTGAGTCATTTACTCTGGTTGTAATCCCATGATCTGTAGTAACTTCGGATTAGGGATGAAGATTAAGATAAAAATTATTAAAATAATTAATTTCGAAATTTAAACTTGCCACAAAGGGTTGAATTTTCGAAAAAATTATAAGTAAACTTAATTTTAGTTTAGATGGATTTAGAAATAACATTTTACACACAACAGCGTTTCTCAAACACTGAGGCGCTCCCCTCCTGGGTGGGTGATAACCCTACAAGAAGGTGTGAGCATGTTGAAAATTTGAAAACAAAAGATTATTTAAAAAAGATTATTAATTTATGGAAAGTAAACAAACAAAATGCATTCTTAAATAATAAAAAATAAAATACACATTTACACTGATATTGTTGTGCTCCAACCTCAGGACTCATCAAACCCCAGGCCGTTCGTTCCCCTTCCTTGTGCGTGAGGGAAGAAACTGTTCAACTCATCACCTAGGTGGAGTGTTAAATGTAACCTTTTTTTCCTCTTTTTTCACCAGTTACTCACATGGGAGTTGCTTTGTAAGCTGAACGTAAGAAGAACTCATATTTAAAAAAAAGTGTGTGTGTACTTATGTACGCACGTAAGAAGTTATACTTCTTTGGCGTAACAAGATTAAAATATTTCTAAAAATCTTTAGCAGGACAAGCTGGGCCAAGGACGCAAGGCGGTCACGAGCAGAGTCGAACGATACTAACCTTCAGTCAATTAGACCAGCCAAACCTGAGATAATCACGATTTAAATAAATTTAAACACCCCCGCACAGGGACAATAGGACCAATAATATGGGGAAGGGGTGGAAGGCGGGAATAATCTGTCCCGTTCTGCATATTTCTAGACAAAGCATCTTTGTATCCGTTCCTACGGAACGCAAATCAAAGGTTCGCTGATGCGGGGGTATAGCTCAGTGGTAGAGCATTCGACTGCAGATCGAGAGGTTCCAACCCGGAAGACTCCCTTCTTCAGGGAAATGAAGAGAAATATTTTTTTGAGAAATTCGAAGGCGGGAATGATCAGTCCCGTTCTGCATATTTCTAATCAAAGTATTTTCGTGTCCGTTCCTACGGAACGCAAAGCAAACGTTAGCTGGTGCGGGGGTATAGCTTAGTGGTAGAGCATTCGACTGCTGATCGAGTGGTCCCCGTTCAAACCCGGGTGCCCCCATTTTCAGGGAAGTGAAGATATATATATATATATATATATATATTTTTGAGAATTTCGAAGGAGGCAATGATCTGTCCCGTTCTATATATTTCTAGACAAAGCATTTTCGTATAAGTTCCTACTGAACACAAAGCAAAGGTTCGCTGACGTGGGTGTACAGCTCAGTGGTAGAGCATTCGGCTGCAGATCGAGAGGTGTCCGCTGCAAACCCGGGTGTCCCGTTCTACAGGGAAGTGCAGAGAAATATTTTTCTGAGAATTTCGAAGGCGGGAATGATTTGTCCCATTCTGTATATTTCTAGACAAAGGATTTTCGCATCCGTGACGGTGTGCGCGTGCATTGTAAAAATTTACCCTCATCTTATTTCTCTAACGAATCAAAGGAAGTATAACTTCAAAATACTGATCCCCGGTGTAATTCGCAAAAATTATTTGTTTCTTCTTGGATTTTTATTATCTAGAACATGGGTGGCGCGAACCTATATGGATCAGCGTGCCATTTTTTCTAAAGAAATGCTTAATGAGGTATAGACGTGCCATCAAATAATTTTGACACGTGATTATTGGGAAAATAATAAAATTAAATACTAAAATCACACAAAATTATTTATTTATTATTATTATTTATTTTTACTACGAAAAAATACGTTTTGTACTGAATAGTAGTATATGTTTCAGTTATAATTGTAATTAAATTTAAATAACATTAGTACGACCGCTGTTGTTGCTGATTATATATATAAATATATATATGACAAATAACTTATATTAGGATTGTGTAAAATGAGCAGAATTTTAGCAGAATGCATGCTGAATATAAGTCATCTGCCAAACTGTTTCTAATGAGTCTTTAGTGTTATTCAGCTCTGAAAATAATCACTCTCAGACATAGGTAGATGAAAATATGGTTAAAATAGCACGAGCTAGCTTCTTCAAACAAATAAATGTGTCTGGAATCGAATTCCATGTTTCCAAAATTTCGTTACTGGTGTACTATTTATATTGCTCGTTAATTTTTCTGTTTCAATCAATTCCAACTTCTTGCTTGTTTCAATAAATTATTGAATCCATATTGAACTAGACTAGAAATCAATAAGTTGCATTTTGAAATTCTTCAATTTCCAACCAACCTAATTGGGGCAAGTTCAGTTTATCAAATAATGTCACATCAGGGTACATAATAAACTTGAGCATTTCTGACAATTTTTTGAACAGAGAAAATCTCACTGAAAATTCCTTGATTGAAGAACCAACTATGGAAATAAATTCTTCATAACTATATCTTTGTCTGTGGTTTCTCATGTACATCTTAATCTTTAAAATTATTTTTTGAAGTTTGGGGTTCCTTGTAATAATATAGTTTCTGAACTAAAAAGCAAACCGTTTTGATCGGTGGCTTGCCCAAAATATTGTGCTGCGTATCATCATTGTCACGCGTGCCAATGGTTCGCAATCCCTGATCTAGAAGAACCTCATATCATTTTAATTAACTCTTTTTTTACGGATATAATACACTTATAAATGCATCAGTGCAGCACAATGTGTTTTATAATTAATTTAACTATACTAAGTTAAGAAAAAGTTTAAAAAAATTACCAGTAACCCCATGGTATTGTCATATAAGAAATTAAATCCAAAACATATTATTTACCTTGACAATTTTTTCTACGGTTTATAATTAATCCCTTAACTGCTAGTTAAAAGTTAAGCAAATCGCTTGCCAATGCCACCATTTTCCACGTAAGCGCACATATGTGATGTATTGGGGGGAGGGGGAAGAAAAGGAATATACATGAATAAGCAATTCCTATAAAAAAAAGTAAATCCTTCGCCACACAGCACGGTCAATGTCCTTGCCAGAGGAGGCGTAAGGCGTGGGCGGTGTGCGCCATTGCCTACGGCCTCGCGGTGCATAGGGCCTCGCGCCTCAAAGCCGAAATAAATTAAAAAAGATATTCTATTTATCGGTGCATGAAAGTATATGAATAAATAATTTGTGAAAATATTGTGTTTCCCATTTTCTTTTAACAAAATTTCCAACTCTGTCGTTTCCCTTTATGTTTAGTCTGGCAACATTAGCTGGAGTTAAGCTGCTATCGCGGGGAGAGACGAACTTCGGTAGAGACGAGATGTACCTCGGGACTTCCCATCTTTAGAAAGCCAATTAAAGCATCGCATGCAGACGCAGTCTCGCTTCATGTTTCTATATCATATTATAAATTTTAAAAGTATTTGATGTGAGAATAAATAATATAGAGAGTGGTACTGGGCATTTGTCATAATTTATCAATCATGTCAGGCTTAGGCACTAAGAGAGATAGTGATAAAAGGAGAAAATGAGAACCTGGTGCAGCAAAAAGAAAAGCGGAAAGAGTTGTATCCAACTAGGTTTAAAGTTCATGTATGATGAAATTTCTCGCGCGCGCGCGCGGTCAGGCTGAGAATCTAACAGTAGAGAATCAAATTAATAGGTTTCTTCGACTTCTCAACAACATTCGACCATATCCAAGTCTCTGTTGAACTCGGAAGTTACTCCAGATGCACCGATTATTGATACCGAACGACGAAAATCGGAAACAGAAATAGGATCAAAAGCTTGCCAAACACAACCTGACGCTGATATTTCTGGGTTCACGTTGAGTAACATAAGTCACAATCAAGAAGAGATTGATATTAGTTCTTCGCCAGTGATGCCATTGAGGTAGTGAAACAAGCGTTTTCCAGTTTTGACCCGGGATTGTGTACGTTTCCCACGACAAATGTTCACCGGTCATGATGAAGTTCAAAGCGATCCCACACAGCAGTTAAATAACAGTGATGAATATTGTCCTAAAGATGATGATCATACACACTTTTCTAATTTTCATTTCTCACAAAAACTAGCTAACGGGGAAATTAAACGTCATCACTGATTGGTTCATTCAAGTTCTAAAAATAAAATTTTCTGATTTCCATGCAGACTATTTGGCAATTCACAAACTCAAATGGTACAGGAAGGGTGTTTTGTGACTGGAAACACTTAAGAGAGAGAGTATTTTACACAGGCAGGAGAATACTAAAGAACATATGGCCTATATGTTCCAATGGATAACATTAGAGAGGGGAATAAAGCACGGAAATTCAGACCGAGAAACGGAAAGCAAATTCTTTAATCTCAAAAGCAATGATATAATTTATTTCAGAGATTAATTGATGTCTTAAATTTCTTAGCCTATCATAATCTGAAACTTAGAGGTTACAAAGAATATCTCTAAACAGTTAGTTTTATCTGTTGTCTGGACTATAATCTAATCTCTGTGTATATATTTATTTATTTTATTGCACTTTTTGTGAGAAAATAACATTAGTGTTTTGTAAAAAATTGAGTTTTTGCGTAAAAATTGACATATTTCAAAAACTTTTAGAAGTATTTACAAATTTTATAGCTATCAACACAGATAATAATGGCATTTATGTACTGTATAAATATTATAAGTATATATTAATTAGAATTTTCAATACAATCCATACCGCAACTGCAATTTTTCACTAAAATTTCACTCAAAATTCCCAATATTTCCAAACTTAAATTTAACTTTGTAAAAACTGTATTGGAATTCTTACTTTTATGTCCCATTTCAAATAAAAAATGTTTATTTAATTGAAATTTTATATATTTCAAAAAAAGTGCTCCGAAGGTAGTCACATACCTTAAGATATTGTAGTACATCAAATGGAAGCATAGAGAAGAAAACTCGATCGGATTTCTTGCTGTCAATGAAATGACTGGAAAATATTTGACCAATGCAATACTGGGAGAGCTAGAAAAAAATGGCTTAGATATTCAGCACTGTCGTGGACAAGAATACGACAATAGAACAAATATGGAAGGCATAAATAGTGCAGTTAAAACTCGAATATTTTTTTCACACCTTGCGTTTATCATAGCAGTAATCTGTTATTGGTGGGCACAGCTAATTCGTCAGCGGAAACAAAAGCATTTTTTTTTTCATTCAGAATATTTTTTTTTGCTGATATTTTCAAGTTTCAGCAAAAGCTGGAGAATTATCAAAGATAAATTAAAGCTTACTATTAAGCCTGTATCAGACACAAGGTGGGAAAGCAGAATGGTGGCGGTGAAGGCCGCATCATTATAATTTGATGATGTTGTTGAATGCAATGAAAACTTTTTTAAAAATCAAACGAAACAATCCGACACACTCAGTGATTGCGATTTTGTTTTAAATAATATGTTCAGTTTGGGATTAATTGTTTCATTACGTGTATAGTTATGAGTTATTAACGTGTGCCAATACCATAAGCAAATTATGGCACTCTGTACAAGCCCATTTATGCATTACTCTTGAAAATTTGTGGTCATTTTGCAGCTGGATAAAAGAGTTACGACAAACAGGATTCGGAAAATGCTTGCCTGACACTCGTAATTCAAGAAGTTATGATTTGCCAAAAGATTTTAAAAATGAAAGGGTAACCAAAAAGAAAAGAATGTTTGATTATGAAGACGGTGATTAAACTATAGAGTCTGTCAAGAGTCGGTATGAAGCAGACTTTTTTAATACCATGATTGATTATGTAATAATCAATATGGATTCAAGATGTATGT